TCCATGAAAATAAATCAATAAACAATATCTATCATTTTTAAATGAAGATGTCAGAGTGTAACATGTTACTCAGGAACATGGGAATAAGGAGCTAATGAACTGAAAAGAACTGCTGAAAAGAACTGCTCCTGAGGAACAGGACCCAACACCTCATACCTGGCATTGACACTGCAAGTGAGAAACAAGTGAGCAGTATCAGCAGCATATGTCAATTCATTGAGAGAGACAGGGAAAGGGGCCGTGTGGTGGCACAGCCGTAGCGTAACTGCATCCACACAGGAGAGGTTCTTGGTTCACATTCGAGACCTTCCTGAGCATGCTGGGTACATAAGCACATCCCCATGATCTGGGCTGCCTGGCACTAGGGGTGGATCTGGGCATGATGAGCCTGTTGTGGGTGTCTCTCTCTCTCTGAAGAAATATATGAATTTAATTTTTTTTTCCCAGAGGATGCATGTACTTGCAGAAAGAGACAACAAGAAAGCGAGAAAGCGCCCTCTGTGGGGATGGTCACCACACAGTCTTTTCTCCTACCCTTCTCCCTCCTGTCAGGGTTTTGGATTTTAGGCACATGGACACATGCCTAGAGTGTTTTTCCAAGTTGCTAGGTTCAGGACTCAAACCATGCAGTTGGCCATGTGGGATCTAGTGACCTTAAAGACTACATCACAAGTTGGCCCAGAAATAAATGAAAATTTTAAATACAGAGAAACAAGGAAAGATAGTTGGAACTATAATATTAGCTTTGTCTTTTTTGTTTGTTTGTTTAGGTTTTTGCCATAGGGCACGTGTACTTGTTAGAGAGAAACAGAGACAGTGAGAGGGAAAGTAAGAAATCATTCCCGGGGGCTGGCAGGTGGCGTAGTGATTAAGGGCACTGGTCTCCCATACGGCCAACCGTGGTTCAAGTCCTGGACCTGGCAGCTTGCTTTCTCTCTCTCTCTCTCTCACTCTGTCCCTCTCTGGTCAAATTAAAATAAAATGAATAAATAAATAAAGTTAAATAAAATACTTCTTAAAAGAAAAAAAGAAAGAAATCATTCCCCAAGGGGGATGGCCACACACAATCCTTTCTCCTCCATTATCCTCCTGGGATTTTGGGCACACAAATTCTCAAGCCGCCAAGTTCAGGACTCAAATCCTGGTCAGCCATATGGGAGTTCAGTACAGAAACCACTACACCACCTGCTGGCTACAGCTGTGTGTGTGTGTGTGTGTGTGTGTGTGTGTGTGTGTGTGTGTGTGTGTGTGTGTGTGTGTGTGTTTTAACTAACTATTGATGTTATTCCCAATGTCCTCAATGCTGAGCAACTTACTGGAAGGCTAATAGTCTTAAATAAGTTTGTTTTCTCTGGACACATTTCTTTAACTTCTGCACTAAAATACAATTTAATGAACTTACCATTAGTAAATCGCTTTCCTTGTTTGCTAACAAGAGAGCCACCTGGAAACTAACTTTGGTTGCAGTCTCATTTACATTTATAATTCTTGTGAAGAAATCCTGCTATAATAAGATATTCATTTTTTGTTTCCTAATTTTTCTGCCAATTGCTTTCTCATGAGTTGGGAATATTGTGATTAGTGCTTAGTCTGGTAATGTTGACATACAGTGTTATTTTAGCACACTTATAGTATCAGTGCATAACAAACATGTTTTCCCAACTAATTCAATAGCAAAATAAACCACATGCCACGTGACTGAAAAGTGCAACATTCGGAGACTACTTTTCTGATTTTGACATGTAGGCTATGCAATAGTAATAGTAAAATATGCTCAGCCTTTGGGGGGAAAGGAATAGGACTCAAGGGTGTTGAGTTAGGGCCAGCATAGGGATAATGCATTACTCAGGAGAAGCCAGATTCCACATGGTGACCATGGTTTGCATCGCAGCTTGGTCAGCCTGAAACACTCCAGGCATATATGAGTGAGTACTCGAGATTCAGTGGGCTGGAGGACCGGAAAAAGGGAATAACAGTGAGACCAAACCCTGTGGAAATCACTTATCTTGCTTTCTTGCTCTCACATGCTTGTGCGCGCCATCAGGAATAAAGAAAAAAAATTTAAGAAGAGATGTTATAGGAACCAGTAGACGGTGTCATCATTATGTCGCTGGACTCCCAAGCAGTCAACTACAGTTCAAGTCCTGGACCCAGCAGCTTGAAATTCACACCGGGTGCATAGGTATGTGCGTCCAAAATCCCAAGAGGAGAATGGAGGAGAAGGGACTGAAGTGTGGTCATCCTCCTGGGGGATGATTTCTCGCTTTCTGTCTCTCTGGTTAGCACACGTGCCCAAAAGCAAAGAAAAAAAAGGTGGGATTATAGAGGTATAGAACAGGGAAATACTTTGTTTTTGTATAAGCTAACTTTTTTTTTTCCTACAGGGTGCATGTGTTCACCAGAGAGAGGGGAAATGAGAAAGCACTGTTCATGGAGGGTGGTCATGCCACAATCCCTTCTCTTCCATTTCTCCTTTTGGGATTTTGGACCGACGTGCACACGTATTTAGCATGCTTTTCAGGCCACAGGGTCCAGGACTTAAACTATACAGTTGGCCGTGTAGAATCCAGCCACCTTAACCACCACATTACTGAGTGGCCATAATTTTTTTTAAAGGTTTTTTTGCTATAGGGGCACATGTACTTGCCAGAGAGAGAGACAGTGAGCAGTGAGTGGAGAAGTGAGATATCACTCCTGGTGCCGGAGGGGTTAGGGACGGCTACACTGCAATCTCTCCTCCTCTATTCTCCTCCTGGAACTGCAATCTCTCCTCCTCTATTCTCCCTCCTGGAATTTTGGGCATGCATACACATGTGCCTGGAGTGATTTTCAAGCCTCCAGGTCTGGAACTCAAACCACAGTTGGCCATGTTGGAGTCCAGCACCTTAACTATCATGTCACTGCTGGCCCCATGCCCTAACTTTTTTAGAGATTTTTGCTGTAGGGAGTGTGTGCTCACCAGAGAGAAACAGAAACAGAAAATGGGAAATCACCCTCCTGGGGAGATGGCCACACCTCAATCCCTTCTCTTCTGTTCTCCTCTTGGAGTTTGTGGGCACATACGTACACACACCCGGCATGAGTTTTAAGCTACCTGATCCGGAACACAAACCACGTCGACTGTGGGAGTCCAGCTACGTAACCATTATGCCACCTGCTATCCCTTCATGCCCTAACTTTTAAGACTGTTACATTTATAACTAGGAAACATGATTTTTAAAATTTGGGAAGTAGCCATTTAACTTAAAAACAGCTTATCTTGGGCCAGGCCCATGGCCTACTAGTTAAGGGAGCTGGATCCTACATAGCCAAAGACACAGCTTGAATTCCAGACCTTACGCTTAGGAAACATGCTGGGCATGTTTGCACGCATGCCCCAAATCCTGATGGGAAGGTGAAACGGAGGATCAGGGGCTGTAGCATGACCGTACCATCTGGGGGATGCTCTCTCCCTCCCTCTCCTTCTCTCTTTCTGTGGTGAGCACATGTGCCCTCTGACAAATTTTTAAAAAAAGAAAGGAAAAGAAAATGGTATATCTTACCTTACAGTTTAGCTAAAAATATATATAAGCTAAAAAAGCATGAGACATAAATAAGCATGAGACATTTATCACTTTATTGCCTTCTAGTTTTTTCCCTAGATACCATTCCCCACCTCTCTTAGAAAAATAACTATGCACATTTTCACCCATTGAAATAGCTACGCACACTTTCACAGCTGCTTATTTTGGCTTATGTAATTGTTGACAACATATGAAAAGAAAAATTGGTTCTGTTTCTTTCTGTTATAAATAAGTTATTACGTTCTGCATGTGAGCATCTGAAACATATACCAATAAAAACTGCTAGAGCAAGAACAGGTTTATTCAAGTAGGGTTTTTGAAAAATGGTGACGGGCCATTATGTGAGAAGTGTGTTGTTCCAGAATTTTTGGCTCTCCTGAGGCTCACTGGCTTATTAATGATTCATTCATTCAATTCATATGGCATGCCTTTACAGAACTATGTTTTACATTTGAAGCACCATACTAAATTCTGAATTTCCTGAAATCTATAATATTCTCATTGTACTAAGTAGCCTTAAATCTTGTAAAATACATAATCCAGCAGCATATACCTTTTAAAAATATGTATATATATAAATTTTATTTATTTCTTCCATGAGAAAGAGTGAGCTAGCACCCCAACAGGGTTTTTTTTTTTTTTTTTTTTTGAGAGGTTTTTTCGCTACAGGGCACGTGCGCTCGCCAGATAGAGAGAGACATAGAGACAGAAAGCGAGAAATCACCCCCGAGAGGGGATGGTCACGCCGCAATCCCTTCTCCTCCATTCTCCTCTCGGGATCTTGGGCACGCACGCACGCACACGTGCCTGGCATGAGTTTTAAGCCACTGGGTCTGGGATGTGAACCGCGGTCTACTACGTGGGAGTCCAGCGACATAGCCATTACGCTAACTGCTGGTTCCCCCCAACAGGGTCTTGATACCACCTTTCACCCCCAGTCTTCAGCCAATACCATATCATAGGCATGTGTCTGCCCATTGTACTCAGGGAAGTCTCCAGATCTGAACTGGGGACCTTCCCAGGTAGGATTGCCATGCAGAGTGTCATGTTTTATCACTGCTCTGCAGTCCAGCCCCTAGCATATCTTTTAATGTGTTAACATCTACAGTTCTATTTTTTAGGGAAAACTTTGAATTTAACAGCAGGATTTGTTTATGAGTTGACATGGAAACCAAAAGCACCCAAAACTCCTAAACTTACCATTCTGAAGAAGCTTTCTATTATCTTTTTAATTTCTCTGTTTTTTTTAAGAGTTGGATAAATGCCATAATATTATTTCCGTATTAAAAAGAGAGAAGTGGCTCCATCTTCTGCATTTTCAGGAAAATGTAGTTTCAACCAAGTATTGAAAATATAGTAATGGGGGCTAGATGGTGGTGCAGCTGTAAGATGCCAAGCTTTACAAGGCTGACCCCCGCGGGAACCTTCTGAGCTCACCTGTGGAAATCTTCCAAGCCTGGCACTCGGGTTACCATGATGCGGGCTGATTGGAGGGTGGTGGTGGATAGCACTGTCAGGACCCTACTGCAGGTGTCGTGTGCGTCTCTCACTCTGGCTTTGTCACTTATGGAAGAAATAAATAAAGATTAAAATGTCTATATAGCAATAGGAAAAACCCATCAGACAGTGAGCCCCGTGAAGATATGAGCTCTTCATGGCGTTCCCAGTTCCAAATACGGTATCCAGGAGCATACTCTATAACGGGTTACATGAACAAATGAAACACTGCTTTGTCATTATTGTCTACCTTCCCTAACCAAAAGAGAGACCAAAATATCACGCTGTATAGTAGTATCATGTATAGTATTTATATGCCTGACTATGAAGGATGATCTGTTTTGTTAATTTTCGTATCCCAAGAATCTAGAAAATGTTGCAAGGAAAAGATGGGGAAAACAGCCTTTTTCTAGAATAGGCCAGACTAGGACCCACATCCATTTTATTATTTAACATAATTTCCAACCCACTCTCCGCCCTTTTTAAAAATTGCGTGGCCTTAAGAGGAGTCCATTCTAATTTTTTAAAAGTCACTTTTGTAGGAGCAGGCGCTTCCCACTCCAATCCAAGTTAACAAAACCGCAAGGGCTTGGCTTATTCAAACACAAGCTAATTTATTATTATTGGCCCAAATTACCCACTTTTTTTTTTTTTTTTTTTTTTTTTTGTTCTGGCCTGTCTACCGCACTGACGTTTCCTCAGTAGCTAGGTGGGAAGCATGGCGCATCTCAGCCAAAGCCGAGGGCGCCTGGAATGTGTGCAGAGCTGCAATCCAGTAAGTACCTCTAGTACACTCCCGTCTCTAAAATCTGCATCTCCTAAGAAATGCCTGCGATTTTCCAAATTTCGAGCTGAGGAAACAATTCTCCTACGCCCTTCGGGGACGAACTCGTTTCCAAATGCTACAACTGCCTCCGACTCTTCACGTCCCAGCCGGTGGCGAGATCCAGATCTGAAGGGTCACAGCTCAGCGGTCAGCCGCCGGCCTCGCCTTTCTAGCAGCGGT